AACAACACCTGCTTGCTTTGTTCTGGACACACTGAAGATTCCAAACATTTTCCAAAGGTAGCCCCTATATAACACATTGCAGTAGTAAAGACTGGACGTTACAAAAGTGTGGATGAACTGTGGTCTGATCATCTCTTTCCACAATGGAAGCAACTGGTACACCAATCAGATACCACATGTGCGTCTTTCAATAAAAAGTGGGATCTAACAGCATCCCCGCATGCTGTCAACCTGCACTGATATTTCGAGGAATGCAACACTTACAGTACTGAAGTATTCAGTGGACCAGCAACTGTCCAGGATCACAGAGCAGAAGCTACGCTCCCAAAGATTATAAGATGAAAAAGAGAAGAAGAAATTGGATTTACATCCTGCCCTTCACTACCCGAAGGAGTCTCAGAGCGGTTTACAGACTCCTTTCCCTTCCCCTCCCCATAACAGACACCCTGTGAGGTTGGTGGGGCTGAGAGAGCTCTCTAGAGAAATGCCCTTGAGAGAACAGCTCTCAAAGAACTTGTGACTGACCCGAGGTCATGCCAGCAGCTGCATTTGGAGGAGTGGGGGATCAAACCCAGTTCTCCCAGATTAGAGTCCATGCTCTTAACCACTACACCAAACTGGCTTGTACATGAGTAGGAGTTGTATGCCTGTGTTGAGGCATAGAAGGCCTCCTATTCGAGACAATGGTATGTTTTGGTGGAGTCTACATGGCACTACACAGCTTAGTTGAGGGTTAAGGACAGATCTCTGTAGGTAGTCTACAGGGATCCCCTCCCACATGCATAGAGTGGCAAGAACACAGATTTTGGTCAACTTCTTTCTTTTAAAAGGAATGAAAATTACAGTTTCAGGATCCAAAGCAGTCAGTAGATTCAACATTAGCAACAGTATTCATTGATTTACTACAGTTGTAGCTGAATTAACTTCAAGCAATTTGGAGTAGGCTTGCTAATACTTTTAAATGTTCTGAGACTGGATGCACCTCTGCTGTTTCCTGTTCTCCACCACTATAAAAGAGAGCCAGTGTGGTATATAGGTTAGACTAGTGTTGGACTAGTATCCAGGCAGCCCAAGTACAAGTCCTCACTCTGCCATCTTGCTGGGTAACCTTGGACCAGTCACACAGTGTCTGCCTAACCTACACCACAGGGCTTTTGTGAGGATGAAATGGAGGAGAGAACAGTGTAAGCATTTAACCCCTGGAAACTTTCCACACAGCCCTCATCACCAGTGGACTCATCCTATTTAATGGACAAAGTATGATTTCCATCTGCCGTAGGCTAACAAAATGGGGAAATATATACTACAGTCCTATTCATTTGACAGATGTGAAGGGTGTGCACACTGTCAGTGTTAGGAAAAGTCAAGTACATCTTGAACATATGTGAGCTAGCCCAGGGCAACTGAGCACTGGCACTTCTCCTGAAGCACACAGATCAATGAACAGGAGACAGAGCATGTAGACTGCTTTGTAGTGCACATCACATACCATGGCCACATACTGGCACACAGCCGGTGTACAACTTACTTGTGATTTCTATCCATATGGACACAATGGTTGTGTACAATCTAGATGCCAGAGGCAGATCTCCCAATGATTGTCATTTTTAATGGCTTACCTTTAAAATGGATTGTTGGGGGGGTTATACTGTGGCTTTTAATTGTAAACCACCTTGAGCAGGACTCTGGAGAGGCAGCATGGAAAAGTTCTAAATAAATATTCTGGATGAGAGTTGGGGGACCAGTGGGCACCAATGATGCCCACCAACAACTTTCATGCTGCCCACCAAGTGTTTTTAGAAAGTGGATGGTGTAATGTATTGAAATGATTACATGAATCACCTCATAGGACTCCCATGTTAAGCTTCGAGCCAGACCAGGGCTCCTCTGAGCGAACTTCCTATTGGTCGCTTCGTAACAGCGACCAATCAGAACGATACCATTCCCTAGGAGGGAAAGACTCCCATTGGTCTTTATTCTAGCAATCTCATTGGTTGTTATTTGTAAATAGGCGTGGCTACATTAGCCCGGTTATGTTTAAAAGGAGCATAAGCTCCCACTGTTTTCTGTTCTGGTTTCTTACTGAGTTAGTGCTTGCTCGTTACTTCCAATAAAGCTGAATCACTTGCTGAATCACTCTAAGAGTCCTTTGTTAGCGCGATCTAACAATTGGCGACGAAGGTGGGATGTTAGAGCAGGTAGGCAGCCCTGCGGACATCCACACTTCGGACTCGGAAGAAAGCGAGCAGAGCACAGCAGCCGATCCGGCGGAGGCGCCACCAGCTCCGGTGCCCAAGTCTCCCACGATGGCTGGAAGCCAGAAGTTCGAGTGCTTCGAACCCTCCTCAGAAGACTGGGACTCCTACCTGTCCAGGTTCGAGTTCCATCTGGAGACACACGACATTACAGACGAGGCCAAGAAACGGGCGTGCCTCCTGAGTTCCTGCGGGAAGGGGACCTTCGACATAGCCAGGTCGTTGGTGGCCCCAACTGATATAAAGACTGTCACCTACGCTGACATCACGGAGAAGCTTAAGGCTCACTATTCTCCACAACCGTCGGAGATCGCCTGCCGGCACGCTTTTTACAAGCGGAACCAGGCCGGAGGCGAGACCATCGCAGATTTCGTGGCGGCCCTTCGCAAAGCCGCACGGCCATGTAATTTCCACAACGTGGAGGAAGCCCTCAGAGACCGTCTCGTCTGCGGTCTCAAAGATGAAAGGCTGCAACAGAGGCTGTTCGCCCGCACCACCCTGACCTGGGCAGTGGCCTACGAAGAGGCCGTGGCCGCGGAAGCAGCGGAGAAGTCCACGAAGGAGGTCCGCCAGCGGGTGGCAGAGCCCAGTATACACGCTCAACGAGACAGCGAGGGCGAAGACGCGGATGATGACGTCAACGCGGTTCGAGGCAAGCGGACCCCAGCGAAGACTACCAACGTCAAGCCTTGCTCCGGTTGTGGCGGGAAACACCAGCGCGACTCCTGTTGGGCTCGTGATGTCGACTGCAGAGCGTGTGGGCGGCGTGGTCATCTGGCCAGAGTCTGCAGATCAGCAAAGAAGGATCCCTCAACTAACAACCGGTCAGCGCAGAGGGGCACTCCAGTCAGCACCCAAGGCAAGACCCGTTCCTCAGCATCGGAAGCAAGCTGCCAGTTGACGGCGACCTTGTCGAGCGCATCGGCCGTAAATCGCACCAGCAGCCAGGGCAAGATCACCGTGACTCCACTCCTCGACGGCCGACCCTGTACAATGGAGGTGGACTCAGGATCGTCCGTGACGGTGATTTCTGCCGCGTCCTGGCGCCAGTTGTTCCCGAACCGAAGCCGGCGGCGGCTCCAGCCTGCGGGAACCAGAGTGTCCGACTTCCAGGGCAACCGAATTCCCTTGGCCGGACGGGACTCTGTTACTGTTGAGTATAAGGGGAAATGTGTTAAACTGTCATTCCTGATTGCAGAGGGAGACCGGGTTAACCTGCTAGGGTTAGATTGGTTTGAGCCATTGGGCATTGGTATTTCTGGGATTAACAGGATGTCTGAAAATAAATGGGGCATGCTGTACGACCTGTTCCCTGATGTATTTGCCGAAGGGTTGGGGAGGTACAAGGGCCCCCCGGTTGCGTTTGACTTAGATCCGTCAGTCAAACCTATTAGGTTGAAGTATCGGAAAGTACCTGTGTCTCTCAAACATAAGGTGGAAAAAGAGATTGACAAACTAGTTGAGCAAGGGGTTTTAGAGCCAGTACCATACAGCAAATGGGAGACCCCGATCGTAACCCCTGTCAAATCAGATGGGTCCATACGACTATGCGCCGATTACAAATGTACGATTAACAAGGCGCTGCAGCAACATTCGTACCCGGTCCCGGTAATAAGCCACATTTTGGCTTCCCTGGGGGGTGGCAAGATTTTCGCCAAATTTGACCTGGCCCAGGCATACCAGCAGTTGCCTGTCACCCCGGAGGCTGCCGAGGCCCAAACAATTGTAACCCACCAAGGGGCTTTTAAAGTGAACAGGCTGCAATTCGGGGTCAACGTAGCACCTGGGATTTTTCAGGGCCTCATGGAACGTCTACTAAGGGGGGTACCTGGCACAGTGCCCTATTTTGACGACGTGCTGATTGCGGGCGGGTCTGAACAGGAACTACTGGACCGGGTTAAAGAGGTCCTCAGGCGTTTTCAAAATGCCGGTCTCAGAGTTAAGCGCTCAAAATGCACGCTCGGGGTGGAAAGTGTGGACTTCCTGGGGTTTCGCATTGACGCAGAGGGAGTCCACCCCACGGATGAGAAGGTATCTGCAATCCAAAACGCCCCCAGGCCGGTGAGTAAGAAGGAGCTCCAATCCTTTTTAGGACTCCTGAATTTTTATCATGCGTTTTTACCGCATAAGGCATCAGTGGCGGCCCCTTTGCACGCGCTTTTGCACAAGGAGGCAAAATGGAAGTGGGGGCAGGCCGAGGAAAAGGCTTTTGTGGGAGTCAAGGAGCTGCTGACATCTAATGCCGTACTCACGCATTATGATGAACACAAGCTCCTGGTGTTAGCTGCTGACGCTTCACCTTTTGGAGTAGGCGCAGTTTTAAGCCATCTGATGCCTGATGGGAGCGAAGCGCCTATCGCTTTTTATTCTAGATCACTATCTGCGGCAGAGCGGAACTATGCCCAGATAGACAAGGAGGGTCTGGCGTTGGTAGCGGCTGTCAAAAAGTTCCATGATTTTATTTTTGGCAGACGATTTTTGCTGGTCACTGACCACAAGCCGCTACTGGGGATTTTTGCGCCCGATAAGCAATTGCCAAACATCATGTCCCCACGCATGCTTAGATGGGCGATATTTTTGCAGGCTTATGATTTTGACTTAGAGCACCGGCCTGGGAAAGCGATTGGGCATGCGGATGCCCTCAGCCGGTGCCCGGTGCCGGACATTGGCGCAGACCCTGCCCCCGCCTGTGAGGTCTTGGCAATTGAGGAGCTTCCTCGACCCCCGGTATCATCCAGGGACATTGCAGCACACACGGCCAAGGATAGCGTGCTGTCCCGAGTATTAAACTGGGTTTGGAGGGGGTGGCCGGTTGGAAGCGTTGAACCGGAGTTCGGCCCTTACAAAAGCCGTCAAAATGAACTATCCATTTCTAAGGGCTGTGTATTATGGGGGAACAGGGTGGTGGTTCCTGACAAACTCAGGACGAGAGTGTTAGAGTCGCTGCACGAGGGTCACCCCGGTATGGTACACACCAAAGCGTTGGCCAGAGGGTATGTCTGGTGGCCGGGGCTGGACAAAGAGATCGAAGAATGGGTACGAGGGTGTCCCAAATGCCAGCAAGTCAGACCCGATCCCCCACAAGCTACACCCCAAGGCTGGGAGTCATCTGGTAAACCCTGGGCCAGATTGCATATAGATTTTGCTGGCCCTCTCCAAGGGCAAATGTTCCTAATTGTGGTGGACGCTATGTCCAAATGGCTGGAGGTCGTGCATATGAAATCGACCACATCACTTGCTGTGATCCATGCGCTCCGCCGACTTTTTGCCACCCACGGGTTGCCTGACGTCATCGTCAGTGACAACGGGCCTCAATTTGTGTCTGAGGAATTTAGGCTCTTCCTCACGAGTAATGGCATACGCCAAATGACTTCGGCCCCTTTCCATCCGGCATCTAATGGCCAAGCCGAACGGATGGTCAGGACGGCCAAAGAGGCCCTGGGTAAAATGGACGAAGGGGACTGGAGCCAGAGGCTGGGCTCCTTTCTTTTGCTGCAGCACACCACCCCCTGTAGTGCTACAGGCCGTAGTCCGGCCGAATTGTTAATGGGGCGGAGACTCACGACCCGTTTGAACCGAATGCACCCAGACCTCACTGAAGAGCAATCCGAGCGTACCACGGCGCAACCGAAGGTGCGCATGTTTGAAAAAGGGGACAAGGTTTTCGCACGAAATTATGCAAACGGGCACTTATGGCTTCCTGGGGTTATATCCGACTCTGTGGGTACTCGAATGTATGTGGTGCAGTTAGCTGACGGTCGAATATGGCGGCGCCACATAGATCAGTTAAGGAGACGTTGGGCTAGGGACAGCGCTGACTCTCCGACGGCTGAATCCCCTGATGTCGAGTGGACACCCCCAGAGCAGGCGGTGAGTACCGAAAGGCCCGGTACTGTCCCCGAGTCAGGGCAGAACCCTGTGTGCGGGGCTGAAATCCCAGTCGAGTCTGTGCCTGATCCAGGCTGTAGTGAACCCCACTCTGACCCACAACCTTGTCTGCCCATGGAGCCTGCACCGCTCCGCAGGTCCCAGCGTTCGCGGCAAATGCCGACTTATCTGAAGGACTATGAGTGTAAATACTGTTGGAATAACTGATGTACAAAGGTTGATTGCATGTTTGTAAATAATAAAACAATTGGGATGATGGCTTAACTTAGGGGGGAGGAATTGTAATGTATTGAAATGATTACATGAATCACCTCATAGGACTCCCATGTTAAGCTTCGAGCCAGACCAGGGCTCCTCTGAGCGAACTTCCTATTGGTCGCTTCGTAACAGCGACCAATCAGAACGATACCATTCCCTAGGAGGGAAAGACTCCCATTGGTCTTTATTCTAGCAATCTCATTGGTTGTTATTTGTAAATAGGCGTGGCTACATTAGCCCGGTTATGTTTAAAAGGAGCATAAGCTCCCACTGTTTTCTGTTCTGGTTTCTTATTGAGTTGAGTGCTTGTTCGTTACTTCCAATAAAGCTGAATCACTTGCTGAATCACTCTAAGAGTCCTTTGTTAGCGCGATCTAACAGATGGGGAGTTTTCTGATTGGCCGTTGGAGATCTGATTGCCTATGCAGATTTTTAAAAACACTGCTTTGGCAGCAGCTTCCACCACAACACAGGGAACTTCACTGTGTGACTAAATGTAAGAACATAAGAAGAGCCCTACTGGATCAGACCAGTGGTCCATCTAGTCCAGCATCCTGCCTCACATAGTGGCCAACTAGTTCCTCTGGATGGCCAACAACAGGCCATAAAGGCCAAGGCTCAAGGATTTAGAGACTTAGTACCTCTGAATGTGGAGTTTCCTCTTAGTTGACATGGCTAGTAGCCATCGATAGACTTATCCTCCATGAATCCACCTAATCCCCTTTCAAAGCTGCTTATTCCTGGTGCCATCACTATATCGTCTAGCAGTTAATTCCACATTTCAATCACTCTCTGTGTAGAACAGTATTTCCTTTTATCTGTCCGGAACCTACTGTCCATCAGTTTCATTGGATGCCCTTGAGTTCTAGTATTTTGGGACAGGCAGAAAAATTTCTCTTTCTCAACTCTCTTCACCATATGCATAATTTTATAAACCTCTATCATTTCCCCCCTTAGTTGTTTCTTTTCTAAACTGAAAAGTCCCAAACTCTTCAGCCTTTCCTCACTGGGAAGGGGCTCCAGCCCCCTAATCATCTTGGTTGCCCTCCTCTGTACTTGTTCCAGCTCTGCAATGTCCTTTTGGAGAAATGGTGACCAAAACTGTACACAGTATTCCAAATGAGGCCACACCATAGATCTATACAGGGACATCACAATATTGGCAGTTTTATTCTCAATCCCTTTCCTAATAATCCCTAACACAGAGTTTGCCTTTTTCACTGCTGCAGCACACTGGGTTGACACTTTCATTGAGCTATCCACTATGACCCCAAGAACTTTTTCCCTCTCAGTCTCAGCAAGTTCAGACCTCATTAGCCGATACTGGAAGCTGGGATTTTTTTCACATTACACTTATCAACACTGAACTTCATTTGCCATATTGTTGACCACTCACCTGGTTTGTGGAAGTTCTCTTGGAGCGCTTCACATTCAGCCTTGGTTTTCACCATCCTGAATATATTTGTGTCATCTGCAAACTTGGCCACTACACTGCTCACCCCTAGTTCCAGATCATTTTTAATTAATTAATTAATTATCATATGGCATTCTGTGTAGACCCCCTCATGGATCACCGCCTTGTCGTGGCAAGGGGGCTTGCGTGGTTCGATGAGGCTATGCCGTGGAGGGCCACCCAAGATGGACAGGCCACAGCATACAACTCAGACCAAGCGTGATCCCCTGGAGAAGGAAATAGCAACCCACTCCAGTATTTTTGCCAAGAAAACCCCATGGACAGTATCAAAAGGCTAAAAGATATGACGCCGGAAGATGAGCCCCTCAGGTCGGAAGGTGTCCAATATACTACTGAGGAAGAGCAGAGGGCAAGTACAAGTAACCCCAGAAAGAGTGAAGCGGCTGGGCCAAAGCCGAAAGGACCCTCAGTTGTGGATGTGTCTGATGGTGAAAGGAAAGTCCAATGCTGCAAAGAACAATACTACATAGGAACCTGGAATGTAAGATCTATGAATCAAGGTAAGCCTGACGTGGTCAAAAATGAGATGGCAAGACTGAACATCGATATCGTAGGAATCAGTGAACTAAAGTGGACCGGAATGGGTGAATTTAACTCAGAAGACCATTATAGCTACTACTGTGGCCAGGAATCTCATAGAAAAAATGGTGTGGCCTTTATAGTCAACAAGAGAGTGCAAAAGGCAGTACTGGGATACAATCTCAAAAATGACAGAATGATTTCTGTCCGATTCCAAGGCAAACCATTCAACATCACAGTAATTCAAGTGTATGCCCCAACCACTGATGCAGAAGAGGCTGAAGTAGACCGGTTCTATGAAGACCTACAACACCTCCTAGAACTAACACCAAAAAATGATGTCCTCATCATCATAGGGGACTGGAATGCTAAAGTAGGAAGTGAAAAGGTAACTGGAATAACAGACAAGTTTGGCCTTGGAAAGCAAAATGAAGCAGGGCAAAGGTTAACAGAGTTTTGTCAAGAGAACACACTGGTCATAGCGAACACCCTTTTCCAACAACCTAAGAGGCGACTCTACACATGGACATCACCAGATGGGCAACACCGAAATCAGATTGACTATATAATTTGCAGTCAAAGATGGAGAAGCTCTATCCAGTCAGTAAAAACAAGACCTGGAGCTGACTGTGGTTCAGATCATGAGCTACTCATTGCAAAATTCAGACTTAAACTGAAGAAAATCGGGAAAACCATGAGGCCATTCAGGTTTGACCTAGATCACATCCCTGATGAATATACAGTAGAGGTGAAGAATAGATTCAAGGGTCTGGATTTGATAGATAGAGTGCCTGAAGAACTATGGACAGAGGTTCGTGACATCGTACAGGAGGCAGCAATCACCACCATACCAAAGAAAAAGAAATGCAAGAAAGCAAAATGGCTTTCTGATGAGGCTTTACAAATAGCAGAGGAAAGAAGGAAAGCGAAAGGCAAAGGCGAAAAGGAAAGATTTACCCAACTGAACGCAGATTTCCAGAGAACAGCAAGGAGAGATAAGGAGGCCTTCCTGAATGAACAGTGCAAAGTAATAGAAGAAAACAATAGAATGGGAAGGACTAGAGATCTCTTCAAGAAAATTGGAGAAATCAAGGGAGCGTTCCATGCAAAGCTGGCCATGATAAAGGACAAAAACGGTAGGGACCTAACAGAAGCAGAAGAGATTAGGAAAAGATGGCAAGAATACACAGAAGAACTATACAAGAAAGACCTCAATGTCCTTGACAAACACGACGGTATAATCACTGACCTTGAGCCAGACATCCTGGAATGTGAAGTTAAATGGGCCTTAGAAAGCATTACTAACAACAAAGCTAGTGGAGGTGATGGTATTCCAGCTGAGCTATTCAAAGTCTTAGAAGATGATGCTGTTAAAGTTCTGCACTCCATTTGCCAGCAAATTTGGAAAACGCAACAGTGGCCACAGGATTGGAAAAGATCAGTATACATTCCAATCCCAAAGAAGGGCAATGCCAAGGAATGTTCAAACTATCGCACAATTGCACTCATATCACACGCTAGCAAGGTCATGCTCAAGATCCTACAAGCTAGGCTTCAACAGTACGTGGATAGAGAACTACCAGAAGTACAAGCTGGGTTTCGAAGAGGTAGAGGAACTAGAGATCAAATTGCCAACATTCGCTGGATTATGGAGAAAGCAAGAGAGTACCAGAAAAATATCTACTTCTGCTTCATTGACTATGCTAAAGCTTTTGACTGTGTGGATCACAACAAACTATGGCAGGTCCTTAAAGAGATGGGAGTACCAGACCACCTCACATGTCTCTTGAGAAACCTGTATAAGGGCCAAGAAGCGACAGTTAGAACCGGATACGGAACAACTGATTGGTTCAGCATAGGAAAAGGAGTACGACAAGGATGTATACTGTCACCTTGCTTATTTAATATATATGCAGAGTACATCATGCGAAATGCTGGCCTGGATGAATCACAAGCGGGAATTAAGATTGCTGGGGAAAAGATCAACAACCTCAGATATGCAGATGATACCACTCTAATGGCTGAAAGTGAAAAGGATCTAAAGAGCCTCTTGCTCAGAGTAAAAGAGGAGAGCGCAAAAGTGGGCTTGAAGCTCAACATCAAAAAAACTAAGATCATGGCATCCGGCCCCATCACTCCTTGGCAAATAGAAGGGGAAGTCGTGGAAGTAGTGACAGACTTCACGTTCCTGGGATCCCAGATCACCGCAGACTGTGACTGCAGCCATGAAATTAAAAGACGCCTGCTCCTTGGGAGGAAAGCGATGGCGAACCTAAACAGCATGATAAAAAGTAGAGACATCACCCTGCCAACAAAAGTCCGCATGGTCAAAGCAATGGTATTCCCAGTAGTCATGTATGGCTGCGAGAGCTGGACTATAAGGAAGGCCGAGCGCCGAAGAATAGATTCTTTTGAACTATGGTGCTGGAGAAGACTCTTGAGAGTCCCTTGGACTGCA